AAAAAAAAAATGGAGCAGAATGGAAGATGAAAGTTAATGTGAGGTGAAACTGAAGCAGGTCCGGGTTGAAAAGCCATCAAACAAGCAAGAGAGCCAGGAGGAAGCATGGCCCTTAGGCAGCAGAGGTGGAGCTGGACTGGAGAGGACGACAGATCACACTGGAAATGCTCAATGGACAGAGGCAGAGGTGAGGTTTCCAACTTGTTAAGGTTGAACTTTGTCCCCCAAAGAGATAAGCTGAAGTCCTAATTCTTGGTGCCAGTGAATGTGGCTAGGACCTTTGCAGGTATAATCAAGTTAAGATGCCACCATGGGTCCTAAGTCACGACAGCTGTTGTCCTTATAAGAGACACACAGACAGAAGAGCCATGTGACAACAGAGGCAGAGACTAAAGTAATGTTGCTACATGCCAAGGAGTGCCAAAGACTCTCCCGTGTCTCTAGAAGCTAGGATGAGGCAAGGAAGGGTCACTCCTCACAGGTGTCAGGTAATCATGGCCCTATTGATACTTGGGTTTTGGACTTTGAGACTCTAAAACTGTGTCACAACACATTGCTATTGCTTGAAAGCACCTGGTTTGTTCCAGCAACCTTAGGAGTCAAATCCATATGCTCTAACAGTGTGCTGATGGTTCTTTGCAAAGGACAACTGGTTGTCCTTTGTCCCAAAGGCAAGGCTGTCACAGCAGAGTCTGAACTGTGAGCATTCTAATAACACACACATCCCCTGCACAAAGAATGAAGTCCCACATTCAGTGTGTCCCTCTCTGTCACCTAGCTGGACAAAAGCAAAATATTATTTCACTCTGGGTTTCCATTATCTACTTTAAAAGGGGGCATAAACAGAAACTGTTCATTTCCTACGGGTTTCAATTATCTATTCGACAATACAAGGCAGTTTTCAAAGTTTATTTGAAAGGTTTCTGTGTTCAGTTTTCCCAGTCTCATCGTGAACATATTTTGATTGGTTTTGAAGGTATGTTTGCTTATATTTTAAGCTGTTGTCTAAAAAAAAATATTCAAAACTTACAGGGGACTTCATATCTACAAGGCACATTTTCCAGATAGGAAACTGTTGCAGCATTGAACTGCCAGAGAGACAGCAGAAAAAAAAAAAAAAAATGGGTCATGCATTCATCCCATCCTGGGATATAAACTGCCTGGCGGTTCACTGTTCATTTTTGTCCTCTTCTCGTAAACAAGCTGCGTTAACAAGTTACTTTTAAAAAGCATACTAATTTCCCCAGTGAATTACACAGGAAAGAATCCAGTGTTCCCTCCAGAGGACTCAAATAGTTGTTTGTTCTCAGAGCTCAGGTGTGGTGAATAGCTGTGAGCTAGAAAATGCACACAGGGATTGGCCAGCAGGCAGGCTTCTCCCCCCAACTCCAGCCTTGATTTCTCACATTGGTGTGCAACTCGTAGCTTGTCTAATGGGAAAAAAAAGAAGACTGGATTTCCAATTTCAATTTAATTACACAATCTATAGTGCCTGGTGGGAAGGATTTAGGGGCAAGATTAACACTCAACAGTGCTCCATTTTACATACCTTTCTGATAAAGAACACTATTGATTTTCCAAAGTGAGTTTTCAAAAATGTTTTTCAAAAGCTGAATTCTTTTGGTGGCAGACTGATAGAAAGGATGGCAATTTCATTTCTTGGCACTTTGCCAGACTTTAGATAAATTAGAGGTACAAGCTGCCTCTCTGAAGTGTATGATGGCCAGTGCGTTCTTGAGAGGCAGGAGCACCTCTCAATAGAAATTCCATTGTAGAATTAGAAATAGCAGCTGGCACACACTGATTGAACGGTATGACTATCGGTGTCTGTTCTGAGACCTTCTGTTTAACTAATAAAGATCCTTCTTATGTTCAAGACCAAAGGATTTCACTCTAATTGGAACTGGAAACCATGATGATTTTATCAGGCATCAAATCCATGGTTAAGATTATGAATAAATATTTGGTGTTCTGTTTTGGTGTCTATATTTGTTTAGATAAATATAAAAAGGAAAATGCAGGAAATGAGTATCTGCCAATAAGGAGTGGCCTTACTATATTTCTTGACCAGCTGCTTAAACATGTTAACTTAATAAAGAAAATAGTTCTCTTTATATGGAAACATATTCCCTATGTGCCTTTAATAAATGAAAAGGGTAGCAATATCTCTTACCAGTTCACACTTGCTTAGTCTCACCAAATCACTTGAGTACATACAAATAAATGAAAATACAGTGATAAAGAAACTAAGCTCAGGAGACAAATATGCTATTTGGAACAGCGACCTGATTTTGCCATTGTACAATGATGGTGTTTTCAAGTATTAAGAGGTCTGCTACTAGGAGTCAATATTTACACTTACATTCAAAAGTAAAAGTGCACCTGATCAGCATTAAATTGTGTCTGTTGATTTTGCATTAGACAATGACAATAGCCAAATATGCCCCTTTACAGTTTGATAAGGGACAGGGTATCTGGCACAAATTAGGTAAACCTAGAGAAGACAACTTTGAAAGATAATACCTTTCACTGCTATAAATGTATATGTGCTCCTTCTCCCTGGTAAGGGTGAGTTATAACTTATGCCAGAGGAAAACAACAATAAAAGACATGGAGATTTGTCTCTATAGTGAAGGCCGAGCGTATTTTGTCACAGGCCAGTGTCTGCACTCCCCGAGTACCAGCGGCAGTAGGAGAAGCTGCAGCCAGGGGAACTCTGGGAAAGGATGTGGGTTGGGGAAGACAGGTGTGGTGAAGGCACCCTTGGTTTGTATGTGTGGATATGCATCTCAAGCTCCTCTAAGAGTTACACCGACTGATTCCATTTACTGTACATGTATGAAAAAATTCAGTAAAAAATGTTGGATAAGAAAACAGTGAAGCAGACAGAAAGAGGTTGAAAACTGGGGGGTGAAATAAGAGACCAGAGTGGAGAGTCAAATTGGAGGACTCCAATATTGGGGGTTCAGTTCTTAATTTTTGGGGAGGGTGTGCCTTTCAACTAGGCTAATGAAATTGTGGGAAAATAACAGAGAAGAAAGTAGATAAAAGTATCTCTTAGCAGAAGTCAGGCAAGTACAGAGAGAGGTTTATAAATCAAAACTGGCAGAGCCCTACTTCTCTGCTGCTTACCACACTTGGGGAAGAAGGTGTAGAGGGAAGAAACTGGGTGAGGAAAGTGCCTGATTATTATATACGCAAACAACCTAGTCATTTGTTCTCAGGACCAGTAACACATACATTGCTTATACCCAATAACCAGCAATGAGCTTTGCTTTTCAAATACATTATAAATGTTTATTTATTAATGATTAAATCAAAATTTTATATTACCATTTATGAGAGGTAAGAAAATACCTGGTTGGCTGTATGCTCCTGGATTTTTTCTCTAGTCACTGAAAGAGAAAGCAAAAAAGAAATCTATCATTAAAATATGAAAAGGAAAATAAATAGAACCAAGTATTGATTTTGCTCTGTATTTTTACTCACAACTCCAAGAGATTTTAAGGGCCCTTTGGACAAGAATTTGTATCCCATTATGGAAATTTGCAGTCACTTTAGTAACTGGATAAAAAAGTCATATCCTAAACAAACCACACTAAGTTAAGTCACAGAAAATGGACTGGAAATCTAGGAAGAGCGGTATCAAAGCAAGGTTTTAAACACTAGCAGAGAAATGGTGAAGCAAAGAAAAGCATGAAGAAAAACTTTAATAACCATTCAAAGGTTTCCAGACAGTTTATAACCTATGATAGTAAAACTGAGCTCACGAATGCTTGAGGACTGGACTAGGAGGTTTCAGAAGGCAACACACAGCGTGTTTCTAGCACAAGCATCCTTCATATTGCCTTCACCGTTGCCACTACCCTCTGGATCCCCAACAACCACGAGTCTGTTCCTGTTCCTATCATCCTGTCATTTCCACAATCCAAGGTGAATGAGATGTCACATACTCCAACCTTTCGGGACTGACTTTGCTCACTCAGCAGAGCGCTCTGGAGAGTCATCTAGTTTGTTGCTCGCTTTCCTGGGTGCTAACTTCTCTTTATTGTTCAGTGGTTTTCCACAGTATGGAAGCACAAAAGTTTGCTTAGTCATTTGCCTGTTAAAGGACATCAGCATAGTATCTATAAATGGCTGTTATGAAGAAAGCTGCTATGAACATTTGTGTACAGGCACTTCTATGAACAGAGGTCTTTACTTCATGGTATACATGCCCTGAGGTGTAACTGATGGGTTTTAGGGAAGTGCATGTTGCATGAAGAAACATGTTTTCAAAAAGAGACATGTAAGGAAACTAATTCAAACAATTATCATGTTGCTTTTGACTCTTCCTCAAGAACCAAGTGAAGCTGGGTCCTGTGCTAAGCCCTGCACATGCATGATACTCATGGAGGACTCCTATACCGCAGAGATGATGATCATCATCTTAAACGTCAAAGCAGGCAAAACTAAACAGTATTGTTTACATGTATACGTAGGTGATGAAAGCAAGGCAAAAGAATGATTATCACATAAAATATTCTTTGAGCGTATTCTGCTAATAGTTTTCTACTTTTGTCTATGGAATACAATTTACTGTTTGCTTCCTCTTCTTCTCCTCTAATATTTGTATAAAGTATAAATCTACATGGTTTTCTTAATTTTCTTTTAAAGATTTATTTATTTATTCATACAGAACTGGGGCATAGGCCAGAGATGCGGAGGGTGAGAGGGTTCACCAGAGACAGAGCAGGGAGCAGAACAGGCAGATGATCAAAGTACACTGCTGAGGGGAGCAGCGGGCGGTCAGGAGAGGTCAGGTCAGGTCACCTCCGGGACAGGTGGGGATAGAACTCATGTGGCGGAAGTGGCTTAAGCTTCTTAGTGCAGTGCTTTAACCCGCTGCGCCACCAGGGAGGGCCGGTTTTCTTAATTTTTTCAAAGTAGTTTTTGCTGCTTCTTACAAGTTTCGACTTTTGTACAGAGTCCACTTTTGGAAGTGGTTCAAGATGTCTATTAAATGTCATCTGACAAATTTAGAATTTTAAATTTCAAATGTATAGAGTTTTGTTCTGTCGTTTTTTGGGTTAGTCTCTAATTTTGCTCTATTTTGGTCAAAGAACATCAAATATTAATCCTTGCTAGTGGTTTTAACCTCGTTCAGATTTTAAACTCCTTTGAGAATCTGAGAGCAGCTATGAGTTGGTTCCTCAGAAAATGCCAACACACAGAAAATGGGGTGGAGACAGGAGACTCATAGACTTTCTGAAGCCACATACAGATTTGCAAGAATCTGCAGTTCAAAGGCCAAATAAGAGAAATAATTTATGATTTCAGCTCCTTGGGGACACATTCAGTCCCTCAAAACTACAGACTCATTACTTGTTTAGTTATCTCCCCCAATTTAACAAACTAAAGATATAAGGCCAATATCTTATACCATACTCATTCCAATACACATAACTCTTTGAAATATCACATGCCTTATAAATGCTAGGTGTGAAAAGATGTACACAGCAGGACTTCCATCCTCAAGAAGGTCAAGGTCAAGTGGGAGAAAGAGAGAACTAAAGACAGAAATGATACCTCATTTTGTACTTTAACAGAGTTATGAACGATCTGCCGTGGGAGGTACAACCGATGGTGTTGGTCCTGGGGAATACTATATACCCCTTTAAACTTATGCAGAACTACATCATGGACAACCAGGGGTACGGTTTTGGTTGGTTTCTTAGTGTCCTTTTTTGTAGTGGAGTTTAACACTATCTTCTGGATATAAGCATGTTTGAACAAATGCTTAGGAATATACTGAATAAAAGAACTTAAAAATAGTGGAAGGTAAGGAAAGGAAAAACAAGAAGGTGGAACTTGACTCAGACCTTCAAGATGGGTAGATTCTGTAACACACACACATACACACACACACTCTCCAGCCTCACAAGAGGAGAGAGGGCTGAGGAGCAAATAGCATCACCCAGGTAGTCTGTGAATATGTGGAGCCATTAATTGACTTAGAAACATACGGCAATCTGGGGACAATTATGGTTTCTTTGGCAGCGGAAAATAAAACTGGTGAGTAGATTGGATGAAGGAGAGAAGCTGAGAATATGTAGGGAGCTTTGGTAGAATATAAGGTAAGTGATAGAATGGAGGCTAGACTAGAGAAGTAGAAAACAGAAGGATGATAAAAAAAATCAGACAAGCACAAGGAAGAAATGTTTGAGAGAAACTGGTAAACAGCTACCTTATGTCACATATGGGCCCTGAGCTCTGAGGCTTCACTTCTGACCAAGACAGCCTTTGCCCCTCACCACTCCCAAAGAGCCTATATCCTCAGAACCTTCCTTTCCCATGGATTATTCCTGCACAATAACCTACTTTTAGCATTATCCTTTTCCTATGGTTCCTCAAACCATTTGAAAGTCAACCCACATGAAGTCCTGAGATTGAGCAAGGAAAAGGAGGTGGGGTTAGGCACCTCTTCCTCTTTGTTGGGGCATTATGAATAACTTGAAATGCTCCAACTGTGGGATTCTAGAGTACTGCACCCCCTTCTTCTCCATCAAATAGTATTTTAGGAAGGAACGTGAGAATTTGGGGAATAGGACCAATAGGGTGAGATGATCTGAAATAGATCATTTGGTCAACTAGGTCCCCATCTTTATCTTGCAAGAGAGTGTAATGTGAAAGTAATTGCTTATAAAAAGGCTCAAGGACAAGGAAATCCCTCAAGGGGCGGGGTGGTAGAGACAGGACCTGATGGGGTGTCACAGGAGTCTGTGGGTAGCAGAGTGATGTGTCAGTGACATTAGACTCAAGCTGCAGTTCATGGTGTCTGCACAGCTGTTGCCTTGCTGCAGTGGCTCAACAGCTCGCCTGTGGTGTGTGGCCACAACCTTCTGGTGGCTCCCAGATTCCTCTTTTGTTTTGTGTCACTCCTTAACTATATCCTATATGCCTTGCACCATCCATTCCTTGTCCATTTTTCCAGTCTCACCTAATTATAGTTCCACCCTCCCAGTCACTTTGATTGCATATTAATTCTGGTTCTTTTTGACCTATCATCCTTTCTATGTCCTCTGCACTCTCATAGGGCTGGCTCTTGAATTTTTTGGATCCCATTTACTAGTAAGATCTTAGGGGTTCTTCTCTGGTCACCCCATCTGCTTTTCTGATTCTTGATCTCAGCCTCTATCATGTGTTTCTTTCTTAGCAATTATCACAACACGTAATTATTTTGTTATAGATTGTTGGCTCCCTAAAGAAAGGAAACTTCATGGGTGAGAAGTGCTTAGACAGGTTGCCTTAGAGCCAGGAGATAACTGATGATGAATTCTGAGCCATACCAAATACTTTGGTTGTGTTAACAATCCTCAGCATTAGTGTCCAAATGAGAATTATTAAATACTGTAGTCACTGAGTATGTCATTGGTTCCCACCTTCCCTATGTTAAGTCAGTTACTGTAGTACCCTAATTTTGGTTGAGAAGGACACAGGTGTTCCTAATTGTGGGGACTGACATACTGAGCGTTAATTCCACATAGCTTGTAGCATCAAATTTTACACTTTGCCTGAAGACCAGCAGTATTTTTGTTGTGTGATTTACCGATAAATCTTTTTGCGTGATTTACTGATAAATCTGTTATTTGCTTTCACTAAACTATGATTCACTAAAACAGCATTTCTTGGAATATCCACAGTGACTCTGTTGGCTTCTTGGTAATGACATTGTGCAGCAGGTGTAATTAAGACCCCAGGGCCATGGTAGGCTTAATCTGAGGACTCTGGCTATGGGGGGTGGGGGGAAACACAAGGCACAAACCTGGGCTGTGTCTAGAGATGACAAGAAGGCAGGCCGGATTCAAGTTTTCTTGGCAAAAGGTCTGGGTGAGTCCAGGCTCTATGACATCTGTCCAAATGAGGAAAAGGTAGGAGGTAGTTGGTAATATAAATGGCAGGGTATGTACCTAGGCTCTGGAGGGACTTAGATACCAGTCATGTACAAGTCAGGAAACAAAGCGGAAACCATGACCGGGGAGTGAGGGATAAGTCAAGGGCTGATTCAGGAGGTAGCAGGACATTTGAGTGAAGATCACAAAGACTCAGGAGTTAGATGGAACATTTTTCTGAGTTATAATTATTTAAATATGAGAAAAATGATCTCCTCCTTTGAGCTATTAAAACACTAATCAATTAGGAGATATAAATATATAATTATCCAGTAGTCATGAGTGCTGCTAATGATAATATTTTTCTCTTGTTATGGATAGCCTTAGCCTGGTGGAGGAAGTAAATGTTCCCTGACCCATGCAAAGGGGGAATCCCTTTTAAAGAAAACCTAAGTCACTCCCAAATTTATTCGTTATACTTGAAAAAGAGCAATGGAATTTAGGGGATAAATTTTAACTGCATA